CTGGCCCTAATGTGTGGGCATGAGCTTTCTTAAGTTAACAGTATGAGATGTTCTAAAAAGCATGCTGAGTTAGAGTGAGCTGAAGCAGATGATTTAATATTCAAGAGTATAAGTTATTCTGTTTACCCAATTTGAAGTATTCTCTGCTTTAGGATGCACTGCCCCTGTTGAATTGCAGATATCAAAGGAGTCCTTCTCAGAGAATCTCTGAATAGGGATGCAGTAAGCCGGTTCTTGCTTAACTAGCTTGGACAGATCAGACGTAGCACCCTGCAGCAACTGTGGATGTAGGTTCATGTGCCAGTCTTAGCTCAGTGGAGGTACCCTGATTGTCCCCGAGAGCAAATTAGTGGAAGACGGCACGAGGCAATCTCAGCAGTGACGGATGTGTAATGTGGGAATCCTTTCCCCCCCTTTCAGTAGCCAAAGGCGTTCTCTGTATTTTGACTAGGCTCACTGTGCAGAATTGATTCAGAGAGCCAGGGACTATTTTTAGAGCCCATGCTGCCGTTGTGGTGAAGGATCACGTCTCATGAAGGTACTTCTACGGCACATCTTTGGTCAGAGGAGTTCCTAACGCTCCGGTGATTAAAGTTGTTGTCTTCCACCTCTCTGCCTCTGTGATCCTTTGCAGCAGTATGTGGGATGTAGTGCAAAGAGGTCAGCTGTCTGAGTCAAATCCCATGTTCCAGGAGGAAAGACTACTGAGGATTCATTATGCTGTGGTGTCATTGATTACCGATCAGGGCAGCGAGAATGAGCAGAACAAAACCAATCATTTTGATTGTGTGCTTGTTCTGCAGCTTTCTTTTCTAGTATTGGTAATAAGGGATATAGGAGTGTCAATAGTTTCGGTATGTTTCCCTAGCTTGTACTCTACAGCTGTTTGGCTACATGGGGATTTAAAATCTTAATATCATTATCTTTAAGTTTCTTTTTTTTCTTTCTGAGCATGCGCACGTCTGGGAGTGTTGGTATTTGTGAATTTCACTCCACTGTAGTCGTGATCAGAAAAAAAAAACCCACATGTTCTGCTGTATAGCTTCAGCTTCCCTCTTCCTCCCCCGCACAGTAGATAAAGTGCAGAGCCCTATCAGCGCTCTACATTCACTCACACTGATTGAGTGTCTGAAAGAGATTTAAGCAGCTCAGTAGATTTTTGGATAACCATAAATAAGGTACTTAATCAAAGCAAGGAGACGAAGGCCACAACACAAGGGAGGATATTGTTATAAAATGTGGAGTGGGAGGAGATGGATCACTTCTTTTTACTCTGAGGTTTGTTCATGCAGTACCGCCATCTAAAAACCATCCAATGAGTTAAGCGCTAACAATAGGAACTGATAGGATTTGGTGTAGGGGTATTGTTAACTTCTTCTTCCCTCAGTAATGATCCAAAAATGACTTTTACTTATAAAAGAAAAGTCCTGGAATGAGCTGAACAAATCTGAGTCACTCCGCTGTGCGCACCCTAAACACAATGTCACTAATTAGCAATTTCACAGCAGCATTCAAAGGCATTATGTAAAGTTCTGCCTTTCTTATATTCAGTTCAGCATTACTTTATGAATGATTTATCTTGTGTCTAACAATGAATGGAGGGTTCATTCCTAATTTGCTTTAACAGACTTTGATGAATGAACACAAAGCAGCCTAAAGTTCAGGCTAGTATTTGCTGGGTAATAGTGCTGAGAATAGAAATCCTGATTAATGTGGACGTGTGAGACTAAATGAGATAATTAAAGTGTGAGCATTTTGTTCTCTCTGACTTTGACGCGGGGTTCACTAACAGGCCAGGAGGCATGGCGTCCTCTACAGTGCAATTTGATGTGTCACTCAAATGAAAACATCTCCAATTAAATAAACAGAGGGGCATGAGTGTCAGTCAAAGGAAAGACCTTCCTCTTAGCAATGGCATGACTGCACTAACTGCCCTCAGTGTTGTGTAGGGGGCGGGAATCGCAGGGTGAGTCATGATACGATATGATTTGGGGTCAAAGATAACGATAATATCACGATTCAGCAATTCTTGCATAATTGATGTGCCTCAGGACAATCATATTAAGATACATTGTGATATTTGATGAACTGAAGAATACAAAATGCCCCTTTAAAGGTAAAGTGCAGGGACGCGCCAGTGGTTGGTGTGTACGCCCCATGTACGGAGGCTGTAGTCCTTCAAGCAGGCAGCCAGGGTTCAGGTCTGACCTGTGGCTCCTTTACTGCATGTCATCCCCCACTCTCTCTCTCCCCCATTATTGACTCTAACCACTGTCCTATCTCTAAATAAAGCCTTAAAAACCTTAAAAAAGAGGTAAAGTGCAGGATAAATGTATTTATTCACTGCATATTGGTATCACTTTACCCGTTTATCTCTCCTCATATCTTCACTTCTTTTCACAGCTCTCTGACATTTATCCCTCTGTCTTTTTCTACTTCTTCTTTTATCCCAATGTCAGCTTCTTCTTCTTTGGCTAACAAACTTCCATTCACACTACCCTCATTTGTGTCCTACGCCCCACTGTGAGGAGTCATGAAGTATTGAAGCTGTGTGTCAAATTGACAGGGAAATCTGTTTAGAGCACCATATTTTGTTATTTATTGAAATATCCATATTTGGCAACAGTGATTTGCAATATCACATGAATCTATCGATCAATACCCCCCAGCCTAGGGTTTATTTGTTGATAAGTGGGTACATTGTGGAACAAGGTTGCAGATTTCTTATGGACAGCTACAATATGGGTACCAATATCAGGCATGCTCACAAGCTAACCTGCTAACATTTCTAGCACAGGGATTTCTTCCAGGGAACCATAAATGTCATCATGCACTGACACGGTGTCACTCATCTTATGATCGTCTCCCTTGTTTATCTGCTCTTCTGATCCTGTTTTGTTTACAAGATTTATTCAAAGGGAAACTGAAGGCATGCTGTCAGTCTGAAGGAAGTTGGCAGATATGCCTGTTCTGAATTATTAAATCATAGTAAGTGTGACAGACATGCTTTATTGGATTGGGGGAATTTGTTGCTTACTCTGTTGGCATATTTTTTTGCAGCATATTTTTCATAAATGACAAGGCTGTAGTTTATGTGGAGTTACAAAATCTTTATTTTAGCCATTTTACAGGACTGTGAATGAGGAACATGAATGCAGACTACTTCAGTGTGGTTTGCATATATATATTATAATATAAATGGTTGCTCTATTGATTCGTGTAGGTGATGGATCACTGCTCTGTCAGATGAGGCATGCTTATATTGATTACTGTACCTAGCAGTGCAGCTCGGTCAATAAATGTGTAGATTTTTTGACACAGATGAATCAACTTTAAAGGACTTATGTTGTAGTGATGACAAGGAATCAGTCGTCACATGGAAAATCTGTGGTAGGGTAGTGAAATCCTTCACAATTTACTCTAGGAAAGAACTACATTATATAAGTACAGTTTGCCTAGGCTTGGTTTTGCAAACATGTGCCCAAATTTACCGGGATGCTGCATTTTTGTCTTCATCTTGTCTGTCTTATTATGTGAGTTTAGCATGGATCGCAGCTCCTGTCCCATGGCCTCTCCCACTTCTCAATACCGTCCTGATGTCACGACTCATGAGGGCCTTGAAGCAGAGCGGAGTGGATCAGAGCATCAGGTTTCCACAGCAGTGGAGCAGAGTGAATGCTCCGTACTTTGTGCTAAAGGGACGTTGGGTCAGACTTCTGCTCTCATGCTCAAATGCTCCGCATAAATGTGCACAGACTAGAGTCCTATGGAGCGAAGGGCATCCGCCCCTAATCTGTTAGCCATCACCCTGACCTTAAGTGAAATACATAACCATACAAAAGACCTCTTGATTCCACTGCTGTTTTATTTAATACGCAGTCATACATTAATGTGATGTTAATACTAGGCATTCCCTTACACACTTCATACACTCTCTTTAAGTGAACACAGAGCATTCCAAAGGTCATCTAGAGCCCACTTTCCCTGCTCTTTGCTCACAGCATGAAATTTAAATCAGATTTCCGTTGAATTAAACCACCTTTCTCCCCGGGGTTCTATTTAAGTCTAACAGATCAAAAGGTCACCGCTCCAAGAATAGGGCTGTCAGTTAGCAGCAGCCTGTTTGCTGGATTCCTTTGATGGAGGTCACTTCTTCGATTGCTTTACCATACGTGTCCGCTCTCGATGGCATCTCTTTTTAATTATCTTCATGGCACACGAGCTGGTTTGCCCAGATAAGCTTCAGTGTTATATTACTGGGGAGCATGTGTCTCATCCGCTGTCCTGTCAATCCTCAGGCAATGTTGCGTTCAGTCCAATTACCGTGGTGTTCACTTTCAACCCCCCAACCATTATCATATTTTTGCTGTTCATTTTTATTGCTCTATTTTTTTACTACTCATTTTTAGTTTCTATGAACTAGTTATAAAAAATGTTTATGCTTTCAAACTTCAGATGTCACCCTAGAACATACATTTTTGAATCACTTCATATTTTGTTCTCAGGAGACACGGTATAAAGCATTTTTTGTTCATAATACAGCATTTTAATTGAGTCTGCAGCAACTCTTCCTCGGACATATAATGTCACAGATAAAGTTACATAATGAATATTTCATGGGCAGTTGAGCGGACGCACGTGAGAGCCCCCTTTTCTGGGGGCCATAGCCTTTTGCCAAGTCCTGACCAAAGAGCACTCAGCTTCTGAAAGAATCAACCACATTTAACCTCACTGTAGGGCAACAGACGGACAAAGCTTAGCACAAAGAAATCGCACTACTCTTTTCTTTTGAGTGCTGCTGTATACACAACCGATTTCAATGTCTTGCTTTCTCACGCTGCTGTAGCTCTGAATATGCCTCCTCGTAGCCTCCCTTCATATCCCTCCCACCACATTCCCTCCCTCACTCTCTTTCTCTCTCTCTCTCTCTCTCTCTCTCTTTCTCTTTCTCTCTCCTCCCATCTCTTGCCTGTGTGCACTGTGCCGCTCTATGCCGTGCACACAGGCATACAGATGTAAGTTTAATCCAGGGAAGAGTCAGAGCAGGGGGAGTGAGTATGGGGTTGCCCCTTTGCTAACGTGCAGTAGTAGAATATTCAGTTGGCGGCGTGACTGTCAAGGCGGACTCAGAAGAGGAGATGAAAACGTCCAGGACCTGTGTGTTCACATTTGATTCTTCCGAGCTCTTTGTGTGGATCTATGCTTTTTTACTATTAAAGCTTGGCGGCAAGAGGTGTTATCTCTTGCACTGAGGAAATTGCAAGACTCTAAATTAGCCTGTCAGCCCCTGATGAGCGTCTGATTTCATGTCAAAGCGAGAAGAGGACACCCAAATGAATCCAGGAAATTTGAAAAGGGAAGTTCCCACACGCTCGGCTTCTTTCAGACTCTGGTTTTAAGAAGATTTCAATATTTTTATTTTATTTTTCATAGCCTTTTACTGGACCTGTGTTTTTCTTAATCTGAGGTCTTACCGCTCCCTGAGGCAGAGATGCTGCAATGATGTGCTTGAAATCTGACTTCCTATGAGAGGATTTGTTCTTCACCTGATCACCAGTTCTTCCATATTTGAAGACATTCTGATTTGCCCCCCTTCTTTTTTTTGTACTGAATATTGTGCGCAGGTCAGTCAAATCAGCAAATTTGGGCAGTGATATGTAACAGAGGCACAGAGTGTACTGCTGGATTTTTTTTTGCCTTAACTATTTCACGCCCCTGAGGGGATCCTCAGACGTCGTTCCATCTCTGGAAGTTTGCTTACTTTACCTGACCGAGCCAAAGGACAGTTTGAATATAGTGTTGGGACAGCCAGCCCAAAGCCAGTATGCAGGTGTCTTTAGTGTGCACGGACCATCGTGGGGGGGTCAGCCGCACCACGGAGGACCGGCTAAACCGACAGAATGCCAACAGCCCAAACACAGGCACACGCAGCAAGTTCAGGGCTGTGGCTATAGTGGCTCGCAGCCTCGGACAACTCTCTGTGCAGAGCGTGCCATCATCCAGCGAGCAAAGCATGAGGACTGGCATGAAGTATAGGTATGGCAAATATCAGCTGGTAGCTATCTGTCTGACCCCAAAACTTAAGATCTATATCAAATGTTGGAATGGATCTTAGCTGCAGGATGTGTGTCTCCCTGCTAAAGTAGATTTTGAATAATGTCAATCACAGTCTTTGGTTCGGGCTCAAGTACACCACAAACAGAGCTGATTTTACACTCCTGCTAAAGATTGCTTAAAGTTTATGACAATGGCAGATTTATTAATTATTAATCTCCAAAACCTTCCAGTCTCCTGCCATCCAGGGCTTTCAAAACAGAGAGATGTCAGGGGATTTCCAATTTGTAATATCATCTGATCTGAGTGCTGTAGTGCTTAGTCATGCTGTGTTGTGAAAATGTAAAAAGTAACCATTGATGATTGATCTATTCTTTGCAGGTCAGATAAACAGTTTAGGCAGCTACATTTTCATTAAGGGGAACCTTATTTGTAATTTACTAGATTTTGTATTTTTTTATGCATAGTTTAGTGCCTTTTTATCTTGGTTCTGATGATGTTTTTTTTTCATCAGTTGTCCAATTATTTTACAAAAGCAATATGAAGCTGACATGCTGGGGGGGGGGCACTTTGCATAATGATAGCCTTTGCCTGCAATATTGTATGTTGACATCCAGCTGCGTTGAATATTTATTTCAGCCTCTAAATCACTTGATTACTGATTACCCGGTATATTGTAGTACATGCTGAATGTATTAATCTCATTGGGAGAAGGTGTATACATGGTTTAGTGTTGTATTAAAGGGAAGCTATGTAGAAGTGTAGAAATCCCAGAGGACAAGTAGACTAATGGCTGTGTTTCATCTTCCACACCCCTTATTTAACATTTAGGTTTGCTTGCAGAAAAGCTTTAATAACAAAATGCAAATGTCTTGTATTTGTGCGGTGAATTATTCATAGGGGGCTGAAAACGGAGCAGATTATAAAGTGGAATATCTCTGAATGCATATTGAGGCACTGAGGGTTGAAGAGTGAGTGGCAAATTGAACAGTAGGGGAGGACATGAAGTCTGTAGGCAGTGTTGGTGAGAAAATGAGTTCACATTACTTTTCAGCGCGGTGAGGTACAGTACATTATGATCTGCAGCAAGCCCGCCATTAATGCAATGTATTAGATTTCTTCATTCGGCCTGTCAGGAGTTTTTTTTTTTTTTGTTGTGGTAATGACCCGATCTCTGTATGTATGCTCCCATCTGTCACTCACATAAAGCTATAGGTTGAGATGAAATAGTGATTTAGAATGGGTCGCTATCAGCAAACTACATTCTCCAGCAACTGCTGCCATACAGTGTAAATAAACTGAGCATCTACAGTTTGTGTTATATTGTAACTAGCAACTTCAGATATGATCTCAGAGCCTTTCAGTGACATGTCTGTGAAGTCACTGTTTGACCAAATGAGTCAATACAACGGTGATTGAGTGAAAGACCCAGTGATGCAGACTTGCAAGTCATTGGTTTACCATTGACAAACAGAGAAATGATTGAATGCTTCAATCCAAAAAACTAGAAATGTTCCCATCTTTTTTCTGATCCCAATGCAGATACCTGAATTATACAAGCAAGAAAACCAGGGTGATAAAAAATGTACACATTTTTGTTATTCAGCTGGATAGTTTGAACCTTCTATGAAGAGTGTGACATCATAACTGCATTCATTGTTGTATAGTCCAAATAAGAGTCTTTGCAAAGCACTTACAAATACACAAAATAAATGCTAAAGAACTCAAATGATCTCATTTGACATTTATAACTGAGAAACAACAAACATAAACGAATAAGGGTTAAAAAAACAAGACTCAGTGTTCTGCTTGATGGTCTGCCAAAGGCAATCTGTATAAATCTTTCAAACATGCTGATTGCCATTATGACCTGATAAATAACCTGAAATAAGATTTTTCACCACTACACGTGATACCAGAAAGAACACAAGCGAGGTCTTGACATTGCTTCTTGTTATGTTTGGTATCAGCGCGTTCTTTTTCCGGTGACAGCGTGTCAAATACCGACACTCTGTCAAGACTCTGTTCACTTCATACCGACACTTTCAAATACCTGAAAAGTGAACCAGTTTAGGGTAATATTAGACATTCAGAGGAACTGCTGTCGGGGACAAACTGAAATAGAGCTGGCCAGGGTGGCGGATGGGGTGATGGATGAGACAAACAACACAGGACCTTCACCAGGGAGGTTGGAGTCTGATGGAAAACCAAAAGTAAAAGTCCCATCGCTGTTTAAACTTACCCCCCCGTCTTAACTATGTTTATTTATTATGGTGGTTTATTATTTTGGCCTAAACAACGTTCTGGGACTGCAAGAGACACGATTGTTATGTGACATATTGTCTGTTTTTGACGGCATCTGATGAGAATGAGTGAATGAGCCATAAAGAGACTGCTTCATGTCGACTGAACGGACTGAACTAACTGGTAGCGATTCAAGATATGATGAACAGATTTATCATTCTAAATTGTAAACCATTTAAACTTCAAAGATCAGAGACCAGGGAGGAGCCTCTGTGCAATTTTCCTTATTTCAATTATTTTTTTATCTATAAATTCTACATTTTTACACAACAAACATGATCTTCAGCAGATTGTTTTTAATTGTATATTTGGTTTTGTAACCTCACACCTACTGTAAAGATCAAAGACTTTAATTCCAAGCTTGTATAGAAAATCTGTTTTTGTGTAAATCTAATTAATTGGTTATGTTTACCGTTAACAGAGAAATTAATATTTGGTGTGTTTTTCAGTAAACACATTACAGATCCTCAGCGCTGTTGTGTGAAGACCCATCACAGTGCTTCGCATGTGATTTGCCAGCGGCAGCCTTGCCGTGTTGTCATTATTGAGGCTGATGATATTGAATGAGTAAAATCATTTTCAGCTCGGGGGGGCCAGCGGCTGTTTGTGTTCTTCGCTTCCGCAGTGTAGTCCGAAGTCTGAAACAGGCTCTGTGTTTGTGCTCCTGATGTAAACTGAAGGTAATGCAAGTCTAAATGCAGCGTGAGATTCAGAGATGCATGCACGGAGGCTACAACATAGTGTTTTGTGGTCTTGAAGAGATGCACATGAAAGGGAAGGAAGCAGAGTATGAAAGAGAGAAAGGGAAAGTGCTGAGGCTAATGCTGGTGTAGGCACTATGCCCAAGAGGAAGTACAGTAGGCTGGAGTGATCTGTGCTCGTGTCACTGTGAATCTTTCAATCCAGTCTCTCCCAGTTAAAACTTGAAAGCTCTTTAAACACGGCCTTGCCTTTCATCCTTGAGCTCAGTCAGGAGGTTTTTTTTTTCTTTTGTTAAATTCAGTCCTGAGATTTTTCTTTTCACCATTTTGACAGCTGGAGAGGTTAGTGGTTTCATAACTGTCCCCTTACACTTACAGCTTATCCATCCAGCAAAAACTTTGCACGATTATCCAGACTGCAGGATTGCAGTGCAAAATTCAGATCAGCCTCATTTGCATACAGTCTTCTCCGTTTCCTTGAATGGCAGCCTTGAGCTTGAACCAAGACTGTCAGTCTTCGAGGGAGAATGCTGGCTAGGTGTGAAGTGACCTCCCACTAGAGGACGAAGGAAGCCGTCAAACTGAACCTCTCTTCGAGGTACGAAAAGGATTGCGGGGGGCTTTAGCGGTCTGCATTGCCGCAGAGTTAGCCGCTCTGTAATGTGACACCCGGTCTCCATGACATGACTGGTTAACATCATCAAGACTGACTGTGAGAGCCTGTACGTCCTCCAAGGAATGATTAAATGGCTTTAGTCAGGACTGAATTAATGAGGCACACAAAATGGCTTGTGATTATGTAAAGCGGTTCAGGGAATGGGAGAATATCGGGGAGATTGGGAAGGCCGTGCAGGTGGGGGGAATCAATCCCGTAAAGCTCCTGCTTTCACAGTCCGGTTATCAGCTCGGCTCTCAAGCATCAAACTGAAGAAGGTTTGAGGGAATGACGTACCTTTACAACACTCAGTTTTATTTGCTTAGGCGAGGGAAATAAACTGCTGCAATCTCATGCTGATGTGAATAAGTTTGTATCACTTTTTGTTTGGATTGCTTTTTTTTTTTGTGCTTTGTGCAGACTAAATTTAAGAGCTCACTAGGAACTGCTTTAGAAGGGCTTTTTTTTTGTCACATCATGGGATTGTTCTTGGTCACAGTTTGTACCTGCTCTAAAGACTTCTGCTGTGTTGGACTCAGTATCGTTTACTGCAGCGGCCATGTAAATCAGAGCTGACTCACCTCCCACCCTGGTGTAAATCTACAAGTAACTCACCCTAGTCCAGACTGTCAGTAGGATTCCTCTCATCTCTGGAGGTCCACTTTTGGTTGTACAGTTGACAGTGAGTCACGTACACAGTAAATAGCTACTGGCAGGGTTGTGTAAGCGGATGGCATTTAAATCCCGACGCTGTGTTGTGTGAACTTGTGATATATCATTATCAATGACAGAGATAAGACTCCACTTTAAAGAGGCCACTTCTGTTTTCATTTAGTGCCCCCGTGAATTATGAAGGCAAAAATGGCAGGAGGATGTCAATTATTTATAAAGAACACTTGAAACACGTACACATCAAGTATCAGCATTCAGGTTAGCTTTTTTTTAGTCGTCTCACCAGTTGTAGGTTCAGAAAGGTTTAAAATGTGATTGCTCTTTCCCAGAGCAATGTCATTAAATGTCATATTTTAAAGACTTATAGTCCCAAAGCAAAAGATATTTGATCTTAAATCACCCTGAACTTGGGAAACGTTAACATTTTCCAATAAAGAGAAGCTTAAATAAGTACATTTTCACCTTCACCTTTCAAAAACTCATTTCTTTCTCAATTCTAACTGATTGCGCTCAATGTTTTTAAGCTAGAGAACAATGTAATGCTCGTACAAAATAGTAAAATCATCTATTGTTGAGGCTTGGATAACAAAAGTTGTGGGTGTTCCATTTGGGGCATCGTGAATGTGGGCGCATGCTGGGACGGTTTCCCT